GGATACAGACTGGAGGAATTAGGAACAGAAATATTGCTTCGGTTTATTTTACAGCCTATCAACCTCAGTGGGTTATTTAATGCAGACAAAATTGTATTGCTTGTAATATTTTGTTAAAAAAACTGCTGGTAATATTTTCTTCTTTTCAAAAATTAATTGCTGGTAATATGTTTTTCAAAAATGTATTGCTTGTAATAATGTATTGCTGGGAATAACTTTTTTCTTCAAAAATTCATTGCTGGTAATATTTTTTGGAAAAATGTATTGCTACTATTAAAACCTATTTTTACACTTTCATAGGGTTTTGACCGTAGTTTGGGGGTTTACTATTTGCCCATAACTAGGACCCTAGCAAGTGCTACAACCCCAGGTCAGGGAAGACCTGGGAACACCAGCAATTAAGAGGTGGTTCCATGCTCCTCAAAACCTCCTGATCAGGGATATTGCTGTTGGATGCAATTTATCGTCTTACTCAGGACACTTCTCACATTTGTAGCTACATTAATAATAATGTAGTCTAATTATAAAAAAAAATATATTAATTTTTTGAGAAATATTTATTTTACAATATAATCCACTTCGTTGTCAATGCACTTAATTAAGCACATCAATCAAACATTATACGTTGTCAATTACAGATCAACATTCATCTCCAAACTCTGTAAACAGGTACTGATTCCACATACGTTTATATTTCTTACACCCCCCCCCGCTTCAATTGTGAAAACCATAATCTTTTCCATCGCTATATCGTATGTACATCGCTCAGCTGTTTACGGTTCCATAGTTGTCCTTCTCCTAGACTAGAAAAAAACAAATCTACCTTGTTATGTAAACTATAACTTGGAGGAAAAAAGATGGTTTCGTACATCTCGCTCGGGGTTTTGTGCGAAAGTAAATTTAATGACCACGACTGCAAATCAAACTCCACTCGCTTATTTCTCGTTCTTCTTGTCGTTCCTTTGCTGGCTCAGATTTGAGTCTGAAAAAAATGGCCACGGAGATTTCCCTGATCCTTCTTTATGGGAGTTTCTGCCTTCAATCGGATTATCTATTTGCAGTGGAAACTTTAAAAAAAAACAAACACCTGACACTACTGGATTTTTGAATGAGGTTCTTATTTAAATTTTCGTCGATTTTCGTATAAATGTGTAGGGAGTGAAAATGAAAGCCTCTGACATTTATTGGTATGGCTGATGCTAACCTCCAAGAATATGACTCGTTGCGTTCTCAGTTTGACATGACGTTCAAAGACTATATTGAATCTATTGCTGGAACCACAGCTAAGAAAGCTGGTTCACAGTGTCGTCCAGAATTTTTTTTATATATCTATGTCTACCATTTATCCAGGCTTAGATTATTTCTGCCACATAGGGTCCAGTTCCTCTGCTATTTACCTGGAGCGTCTTGATAAAATCCAAAGAAAATCAGCAATATTATTGGTCCTGAACTAGTGGCTCGGCTTCAGTCACTTTCCAACCGCCGTTTAGTTGGCTTTCTGTGTCTTTTCTCTAAATACTTTCATGGTAATTGCTCGGATGAGCTCTTCGCTATGGTACCCAGACTTTTTCAATTTAAGCACAGTACTAGATTGGAGTCGAGATCTCGTCAATTTTCATTTGAGCTGGCTAGATGTAACCGTAAGTTCTATGCTAAAAGTTTCTCTTTTCGCACTTCTCACTTGTGGTACACCATTCTGGCTCCATGCTTTCCAGTCAATATTAAGCTGGAAAAGTTTAAATGCAATGTCAATTGCTATCTACTATTCTTTTAATTTCTCTTTCCTCTTCGCGCTTATTATTAATGTTTCTGTATTTGTTTATATTTCTGAGGTGAGATATTATATACAATATTTACATTGTTCGGACTATCATCCTCATCTTTGTTGCCATATTTATCACAACATTTCGGACGTTGTACGCTCCGGTGTTATTCATCGGGTTGAGATGTCGAACTGAACCCTTTATTTCGCTCGATGGGGTAGACTGTTCTAGTTCCACGTGCCATGTCTAATGGATATCAGTTATCTCCTCTCCAAGTTCTCTACTGCCATAACCAGGTATTGAACAGTCTACCCCAACGAGCGAAATAAAGGGTTCAGTTCGACATTCCAACCACCTGAAGAAGGTCGGAGCGTACAATGGCTGAAACGTTGTGATAAATGGCAACAAAGATGAGGATGATAGTCCGAACAATGTAAATTACTGCTTCTGTTCGTAATTCCTCTGAACCAAGTAACCCCTTGTGTCATAGTGGATTTATTGCCTTGCAGGTGATACCGATTAAAAAAAAACGCCTTAAGAATTAAAGTAAACTTCAGTAAAGACTGTAATATAGATGTTCAACAACGTTTATATACATATATTAATAAACAGGTGTACATATGGAAATTAAATATAATACAATAGCGTATGTATGTGAACATAACATTGTCATAATCAAATCGGCAAGTGGAATCGGGGTGACGATTTTAATTCCTGTTGATTTCGTTATGTTCAATTTTTCAAAAATAACCTAAGCAAAGCTAGGTCTTCTTCCTCTCAACTATGGGTTAAATAGCAAGAGAACTAGGCTTTGTGGTCTTGTTTGGCAACCAGTCTACAAAAAACAACTCTGAATTTAAAACCGGCTATGCAAACGACAGCGGCAACGCCTAGCATACTGAAGCTGTGGGTCCTATAATCTAATGGGTTGTCTCGTGGCACTGAAGAGAAAAAAGCGTAGGAACAAAAAGCCTCGGTGATTCTAAATTATTGTAAATTTCTCAACCGCCAGCTTACAAATTGCGTTCGTCGCATTATATCAAATAAGTCCTTGGTCCTACTGGGTAAATTTCTATGTCGAATTATCATATTTTGTCAAGCGGTTTCTGAATTAGAGTGGGTAAAATGTAATTGTTTCAGCTACCAGAACCTTTTTGTTTTCTCATTTCACCTTTACTTATCTGAAAATATTTTTCGAAACTTCGCGGATTTTTTTTCATACTTGTAGTGAAAAATTCTTATAGAGATTTTTTCAATGCTTCAAACAAAACTTTTAATAAACAAGGATGAAGATAAAGAAATGGGCAAAATTATGAGCCAGCGAAATTTCAAGAAATGCATTTCAGAAATAATCGCTAATTTTCGAGACATTGGAAGTGCTTCGAATTGGCCAAGGTGTACTCACCCTCACAAATCGCGGCATCGAATGGCATAAAAAAGACTAGCAAAAGATGGTACGGAAAATCGCAGAATAGGGTGGTATGGGAAATTGCATATAAGATGATATGGAAAATCGCATCTAAGATGGTATGGAAAAATGCGTATGAGATGATATGGAAAATTGCAGTATTGGGTGGTATGTAAAATCACAGCAGACAATGGTATGTAAAATCGCAGAATAGGATGCTAGGGAAAATAACGGTGTAGAATGATATGCAAAATCGCAGAATATGATGGCACGAATAATAGTGTGATATAGAAAATTGGCCATAGGATGGTATGGGAAATTGCGGTATAGGATTGCACGGAAAATTGCAGCATAGGATGGTATGGAAAGTAGTAGCAAAGCATGGTATGTAAAATCACCGTATAGGGTAATACAGAAAATTGCCCATAAGATGGTATGGGAAATTACCTTATAGGATTGCACGGAAAATTGCAACATCGGACGGTATGGAAAGTAGTAGCAAAGCATGGTATGGCAAATCAGAGTATAGGGTGATATAGAAAATTGTCCATTGGATGATATAGAAAATTGTCCATTGGATGATATAGGAAATTGCCTTGTAGAATGGTATGGCAAATCACAGCATAGTACGGGATAGAAAATAGCAGCTTAAGATGGTATAGAAATTTGCAGTATTAGATGATATGAAAAATCGCAGCAAAGAATGGTATTGAGAATCGCATCATAGAATGGTATGAAGAATCGCTGCATTGGATGGTATAGATAACTGATCAAAGCGGCAAACACGACTGAAAATCACGTGAAAATGTGTTCGATTTTCCCAATTTGATGTCAGTAAATAACAATAAGAGTATTGGAGAATATTTTTAATTCATTTATCCTAAACAAGGCGATAAAGCCACAAAGACGCAATCGTTCACTGAAACTGAATTGAGAATTACTGAGGGAGAGACGACAATAAATGAAGAGAATTTAAGTTGAGACCAAAGATGATGGTTGACATTGGATTTAAACTTTGGAAGATTTAGTTGAAGTTAAAACAAGAAGCCAGAAGTGAGTCCCACAAGTAAGAATTGCGAGTAAAGAAACCATTATCATAGATATTACGATTATATCTAGCAGATTTAACAGTAAAATGATGAGACCTACCTGCCAACCTCGTTCTGCATTTAAATTCGTAAAGTCTAGGTGCCAAAGAGGAAAGCCGATCAGCAAAATTGCCATGAAAGTATTTATAGAAAAAAACACATAGATAGATAGATAGATAGATAAAGAACTGGTTAGGATAGATAGATAGATAGATAGATAGATAGATAGATAGATAGATAGATAGATAGATAGAGAACTGGTTAGGATAGATAGATAGATAGATAGATAGATAGATAGATAGATAGATAGATAGATAGATAGAGAACTGGTTAGGATAGATAGATAGATAGATAGATAGATAGATAGATAGATAGATAGATAGATGTGAATGACCGAAAAGGTAGGAATAAATGATAGAATGTGGAAAGGATGATGGGGAAGGGAGGATAATTTGAAAACACAAAATTGACATAAAATTTGCGTCATTCTTTCTACGCTTTATCCAGTTTCATTCAAGGAGAGCCGCAAGGTTTGTCATTATCGGTTGAGCAAAAACAAAAGTCGGCTTTCGTTTTGTATTACTTCACTGATCGTGAGAATACGTTAGGGAAGACGAGGGAAAAAGTCAGCACGAAGAGAGAGAGAGAGAGAGAGAGAGAGAGAGAGAGAGAGATAATTAGCGGGGCGTGGAAAGGTTCATGCTCCGCAGATAAATAACGATAAGTAGATATTTAGATGTTTCAAGGGGAATATGTTGAGGCGAACGGTGTCATTAATAAGTGTGAATTAGATAGATAGATAGATAGATAGATAGATAGATAGATAGATAGATAGATAGATAGATATGAACAGACTGGAATAGATAGATAGATAGATAGATAGATAGATAGATAGATAGATAGATATGAACAAACTGGGATAGATAGATAGATAGATAGATAGATAGATAGATAGATAGATAGATAGATAGATAGATATGAACAAACTGGGATAGATAGATAGATAGATAGATAGATAGATAGATAGATAGATAGATATGAAGAGACTGGGATATATATATATATATATATATATATATATATATATATAGATAGATAGATAGATATGAAGAGACTGGGATATATATATATATATATATATATATATATAGATAGATAGATAGATAGATATATATGAAGAGACTGGGATAGATAGATCGATATATAGATAGATATAAACAAACTCAGATAGATACATACATATATTCATACATATAAACAGGCTGAAATAGATAGATAGATAGATAGATAGATAGATAGATAGATAGATAGATAGATAGATAGATAGATAGATATACAAGCAAACAAATCATACACGGAGAAATATATAAATAAATAAAAAAAAAAGAAAGAAAGAAATAATGAAAGAAATATAGATAAAGTGAGGGAGTGATAGAGAGAGATATTGCAATGGGAGATGAAAGGCTTATGTCGAATTGGAAGTTAGCTGTTGATCATTAATTGCGCTGACCACTGGTCGAAAACCTTTAATGAAGTAACAGGAAGCAGAAGCGAAAAGAGAAAAACTCGAGCCAAAATCAATACGTACGATTTGCAATAATGAAATAAGAAAAATATTATTATTATTACTTGAACTGGACGAGTTTTCCAAAAGATCGCAATCATTGGCTTTCCCTTTAGAGTAAGTAGCTGTACGTTTACTAAAGACTCTAATCATCTTGATGCTGTTGTGGCTTTCAGTAACGTTGTTTTCCGGATTCTTTCAGTTCTTTCTATAATTTACAATCGTTTCAAACACATTGCAACACTCTTCCCTTCGACTGTTCCAAGCGCGCCAATTATATGTGATCAATGTTTCCACATGATGATTGGTATCATGTGGAAATCTAGCTGGTGTATGTTCATATTATTCAATTGATAATATTATTATATTCTATTTAAGCTCGGTCGACTTTGGAATTAAGACTTCAGTTTATTATATATTTTAATCTTTTAGCTTATTTTAAACTTGTATTCTTACCACACACACACACATATATAGGTAGATAGCTATTTATAATATTAGTGGTTAATGTATACATATATATATATGTAAAATATATAAATACACACACACACACATATACATATATATATATATATATATATATATATATATATATATATATATATATATATGAGTATGTATAAAATTTCCAAGAGGATAGAATCCAGGTAGAACTCAATATCCAGGACAAAGTAAGAATATAATAAAAGGCTTTATCACAAATATTCAATTTATTACATTGGAATCGTAATTACGATTCAATTGATCAGACCTACAAATTCAAAAAGAAATCGGGAAAAATAACAATTATTTTTTCTGATTTCTTTTTGAATTTCTAGGTCTGATGAATATATTTGTGTATTTAGGCATCAATCCTTCTTTCATGCACATTTCATTAAATACGACAGACAAGGTGCTTTTATTTAGTTTTTTATACAATTTCTCATGCGATCTAATATTTTTTTTCTTTTCAGATGATAAATTATATAAAAACTGTCCGAATGTTGTTTTTATCCGAGCGCTTTCGGCAATACATTTAGCCATTTTTAAGGATTAAATAATTTAACTGTTAAATAAGAAATAGTTTGTTGTATGTATGTTTCATAAAATGTTTTCATTTTTCAAAACACGGTCAAAATATTGTGTTCATGTTCAAAGTTAATATTATGTTGTTTTTTTTTTATTAATAAGGCTTCCATTATTTTTAGCCTTTTTTGCATATAGATGATGCTGTTATGTCAGTGTTGTCAACAAGTATCTTACGAATAGTGTCCGGTAGGTCTCCATGAATATTTAAATGAGATCTAATAGGTCTCCATGAATATTTAAATGAGATCTAATTGGTCAGAAAGGTGTAGGGTGAGTGTGCGTGTGTATGATGAAACGAGTAATCAAATCTAGTTTCAATAAAACGCTTTTCCATTTGTCAGATTTTAGACAAACAAAGACTTTTGTTCAGAAAAATTTTGACCAGTGGCCCGAGTGGAAACCCTCAGGTTTCCCACAGTAAACTTGACCTTGTATCTAGTCTGCAGTGGGGGGGGGGGTCGGCAAAGATCAGTTCGTTGGAGTCAGTCCAAGAGAATTCTCATGACGTCACGGGGAATAGCCTAAGCAAGATATAATATCATAACAGCTAGGATTAAGTTATAAAAGTGGCGGCAAGGAATCGAAGCCCATACAGTTTAGGGAAAAAACATTCTGGTTTTTTTTTTTTGCTTTGGCGCCCATAATAACAGTAAAGACTGAAAATTAGAAACATGTTGGTTTATTTTTTTCTCTCTTTGGTATGTAAAAAATAAAAAAAATAAACAGGGAAGTAAAAAAAAACAGATATTCTTTAATTATGGAAGAATTATTAGCCCAAGTGGTAAAAATACAAGAACAGTAACAAGAACAATGGTTTGAACTCCAGAAACAACAAAATTTAATTGAAATAATGCGGAATAAAACGGAACATTTTCCAAGTTCTTTCCGTCCGGAAGCGGTAGCACACGCCATAATTGAATTCACATACAATTCAGATGATGGAAATACCTTTTCTGCTTATTTTAGAAGATACGAACTAATTTTCACAGAAGAGTGAAGCGACTGGGAAGACGATAAAAAGAAGACGTTTGTTCAGAAAGTTATCATTGGTAGAACAGGAAAAATACTGTCATTTTGTAATACCGAAAAAAAAAAGCAAACAAAAAAAAACAGGAAAAATTTCTTTCGTCATTCAATATTTTTTAACTTATGGGTAATTGTTAACAAGGAGTGTGGAAGATTCAAAGTAAATGAACTGAATTCGGATATATTTAAAGGGTTAATTTTTATTCAAGGTTTTACGGCGAAAATGGACGCCAAAATACATGCTAAAATATGTGCGAAACTTGAACAGAATCAAAGAATAACACTACAAAAATATTGGATGAATGTCATGTCAGAGAATCTCATAAATCTGAGACAATAAAATCTGAGACAATAAAATCTGAGACAATAAAATCTGAGACAATATAATCTGAGACAATAAAATCTGAGACAATATAATCTGAGACAATATAATCTGAGACAATATAATCTGAGACAATAAAATCTGAGACAATAAAATCTGAGACAATATAATCTGAGACAATAAAATCTGAGACAATAAAATCTGAGACAATATAATCTGAGACAATAAAATCTGAGACAATAAAATCTGAGACAATAAAATCTGAGACAATATAATCTGAGACAATAAAATCTGAGACAATAAAATCTGAGACAATAAAATCTGAGACAATAAAATCTGAGACAATATAATCTGAGACAATAAAATCTGAGACAATAAAATCTGAGACAATATAATCTGAGAAAATATAATCTGAGACAATAAAATCTGAGACAATAAAATCTGAGACAATATAATCTGAGACAATATAATCTGAGACAATAAAATCTGAGACAATAAAATCTGAGACAATATAATCTGAGACAATAAAATCTGAGACAATAAAATCTGAGACAATATAATCTGAGACAATAAAATCTGAGACAATAAAATCTGAGACAATATATAGAGGAAATTCAAGAAAAAAACTGTATAGACGTACACGCTAAAGAAAAATGCGGTAAAAGAAAAATTAATTTATGTTTCAGATGTGGAAGTTTACATGTGGTAAACGACTTCACCTTTAAGAATGTAAAGTGATATAAAACTAAAGCAAGGAAAAGTTCTCACAGAAAAAAAGCAACAAACTTAGTACCCAGCGTTGCGTCGGAAAAAAATAATTGCAGAGAACTATAAAGAATATTTTTGTAGGTGAAAATTAATAATGTGGATGTAAAAATGCAGCTAGACACTGATAGTGATATCACAATATTCAACGAAGCCACATGAAAATTAAACATCATACCTATATTAAAAACGAGTTCCAAAATCGCAGGGGGCGTGTCGGGTAAGATTATTTTTATTGGTAAACTGACTTGTAACGTTTCATTTCGTAAAAAGTGTGTAAAATCTAAGGTTTCTGTGTTAAACAAAAACTAGAAACTTATTCAGTACTGACTGGATGGAATTATTTCAGCTGTATTTACCTATATATATTACAAAAATGTAAGTGGACAAGCGACCAGTTAAAAAAAAACAGCGTGAAAATTTAAAGGAAGAATTGAGACAACGTTTCCGGGTGTTCTGTCGGATGAGTTGGGTCGTTGTTCCAAAGTCAAAACGAAATTTCAAGGGAAAAATGGGTCGACACTAGTGTTTAAACCTAAACGTAGAATACCATTCGCAGTACTAGATGCTGATTTTTCGATAGTGTTTAACAAATACTTGGAATAACATAACTAGCCATTACCAAGTCCATAGAAAATTTTTGCAAGCATAAACGGTGGAAAATTTTTTTCGAAGTTGGATCTTTTTGAATCGTATTTGCAGATACAGGTCGAAGAAGAACGTTCAGAGTTAATGGCTATAAATAAAAGGGTCAGGATGAGACTGGGAACACCAGCAATTGCGAGGTTGTTCCACGCTCCTCAAAACCTTCTGATCAAAACCTTGCTGTGGAATGTAGTTTATCGTCTTACTCAGGACGCTGATGTAGTTTATTTTCATACCCTGGACGGATCAGTTAAAGAAAGAGTTTACTGAAGAAAGGCCCGCAAGAAAAGACTAACCTATGCAAGTAGTGTATGATATTTTTGACGTACTAACACCCTAAGAATTTGTTGAAGCATGATAAACAAAATAAAGGAAAATTAAAGAAAAAAAACTAGACGGTGACCCAAAACGAAAGAAATACAAAGTTCAGTATGTAGCGAACTTGACAGAAAAAGGAGGAGGGGGCAAATACTAAGAAATAAGTCATCCCCGGTAACACAAATGAACTAAGCAAGACGCCTTAAATAAAGAAATCCGTTTGAGTCTGTCGAGAAGAAAGAATTTTTGACGTCACAGTGAATAGCCTAAGTGAATAATAATAATAATAATCATAATAATAATAATAATAATAATAATAATAATAACGTTATTCAGACTGTTGTCCTCATTTTCATTGCCATATTCGTTTCGGCCGTTGTACGCTCCGACCATTTTTAGGTGATTGGAATTTCGAACCAAATATTTCATTCACCTGGGTAGATTTGTCTAGTTCCACGTGACATAACACTTCTGGGTGTCTCAGTTATTTCCCTTTAACTCACACTCGAAAATTTGTGGTTCACCTCTACTGTAGCCTGGTATATAACTCACAATTCTATGGGAATATTCACTGGATCTAACCAACGCCTTTATCCACTTTATCCAAAGAGATAGACAGGAGTGACATAATATTATAACAGCTATTCACGAATCGATCTCTTGTTCCTCAGCTATGCTAAAGAGATTTAGTCCCATTTCATTTGTTGGCAGACAGTATAGGAGAAGGATAACTCTAAATTCAAAATCTGGGGAGGGTAATTTGGTGACCTCGTGCTGTACAATGCACTAGTTCTCTGTACTATAGTGCTTCCAAAAAGTGTGATTAGTTTTGTACAAGCCTTCATCGCTATAATCAAATCATATGCGCGGGTAGTTTTAAGAAATGATGTGCTGCTGTATCCTCATGTCGAATGACAACGGAGAGTCCTCCATATATATATATATATATATATATATATATATATATATATATATATATATATATATATATAAATTAAATTGATTT